TATGCATTTTTTTCTGAAAGTTTGCAATGTTAAAGACTTAGGGCCATTTAAATTCCGGCCGTAGGGAGCTGCAGGCAATTTAAAAGTCCGTACGTTAAAGGTTAAGATGTTTAATGTTAACGAACACTGGAAGCATAATTTTATTAGGATAAATTGGATAACAGTCCTATGTCTTTCAGCTTAGTCTCGGTCTTTACAGTGCCAAGGGAAATTAAGTTATGAAGTGAATAATTTGTTAACAGGAGGTTACTGCATAATGAGGAGCTTCATAACTTGTAGTCTTCTCCAAGTATAATTAGAATGATAAAGTCAAGGAGTATGTGATGGGCAGGGCATGTAGCATGAATGGGGGAGAAGTGGAATGCATATAGGATATTGATGGGAAAACCAGAAGGAAAGAGACCAGTGGGAAGATCAAGAAATAGATGGGTGAACAATATTAAAATGTATCTTAGAGAGAGAGTATTGGATGGTATGGATTGGATTGATCTGGCTCAGGATAGGGACCATTGGGAGGCTGTTTTGAACATGGTAATGAACCTTTGGGTTCCATAAAATGCTGGGAAGTTCTTCAGTAGCTGCACAATTGGCGGCTTCTGAAGAAGGGCTCAGCTCCATGAGTGAGTGAGTGAGTAATTTGTGGAACCTTGTATGATAACAACCCCACCAATGCACTCCATGAATATTTGAAAGACATAAAATAACACAGCATTTGAGGCACTTGCAAATGTAGCATTATGTGAAGAGTTCTATTTACTGGGGTATAATGCCATGTAATACGTTGGAAGTCAGTTGACTTTTCAGATATCCTGGGGAGTACTTCTGTGAGAACCTCAGATCCTGTTGTGCTTCTGTTATTGCTGTTGCTGCAACAACAACATAGTTCAGTTGTTTGAACAAGGTGGCCATTCACATCTCACAAACTATTTTAATCAACAGTAGGTTTGAAGAAAGCAGTCTTCTGGGATTTGGCACCGTGTATATGTGGTGTTAACCGACGTTTCGGA